AAGTAACAGGAGGATTAATACAGACTTCAAGCTAGCGGAAGCCTGGTAAAGAAGAAATATGTGATGAGGATCTGTATTTCTTCAGCATGGGTGTTTGATTTAGTACTATTCTTCAAAACTATTAAACTTTGAATACATATTATGTATCTAAAACACTTATATTTCATAAGTAAAAACACTTTAATGGAATTTTTCTACCTCTGAATTTCCCAGTTTTTCTTAAAAAATATATTTTTCAATTACAGTTGACATACAATATTATATTAGCTTCAGGTATGCAACATAGTGATTGGACATTTATATAACTTACCAAGTGTTCACCCCAATAAGTCTAGTACCCATCTGACACCATAGTTATTACAAGATTATGGACTATATTCCCTATGTTTTACTTTACATCCCCTATGACTGTGTTTATATATGACAATTTGTACATCTTAATCCCTTCCCCCTTTTCACCCATCCCACCAACCCCCCACTCCGATCTGGTAACCATCAATTTGTTGTCTGTATCTATGCTTGTTCATTTGTGTTTTAGATTCCACATATAAGTGTTTTAGATTCCACATATGGTATCTACCTTTCTCTGTCTGATTTATTTCACTTAGCATAATACTCTCTAGGTCTGTCCATGTTGTTGCCAGTTTGTTTTCTGAAGAATTAATTTGAGAACAAACTTCTCAAATCATAATTTCTGATTCTTTAAAAAAAACCCACAAACCCTAAGTGATCCTCAAGTTTCTTTAAGAAACTCAACTTTGAGCCTCCCACAGGAAAAGGGCTTCCTTCTGTTATAACTCTAACGCACTAGCAGGGGTGTCCGACCTGTGGCCCGTGGGCCACATGGGGCCTAGGATGGCTATGAATGTGGCCCAACACAAAAATCATAAATTTACTTAAAACCTTGTTTTGCTCATCAGTTTTTGTTAGTGTTCGTGTGTTTAATATGCGGCCCAGGACAACTCTTTTTCCGGTGTGATCCAGGGAAGCCAAAAGGTTGGACACCCCTGCAAGAATCCTTTAGGATTTTGCTCTTGCCCTCTCTGTGTGAGACTGATCCACTGACCTGCAAACAGGTACTTCCAACTACCTACCAGACATTTTCACTTGTCCACCTGGAAAATCCCTGCTCACCATTCCAATTTTAGTTCAAATATCACCTCCGGTAAAAACCTTGTAACATCTCCCCCACCAAGGACTCATCCACTTAGCTGTTAAAAATTTCTGACACTGAAAGACCTACCTTTACATTTAAAACAAAGTCAAAAGCTTTCCAGACAAGCAACAAAATAAATAAGTAAATATAAGATTATTTAGAATATATGTGGCGAACATGGTCAAAGGTATTAATACAAATTTGCAGTTATATGAAAAGTAAGTCCTGGGGATGTAAAGTACAGCATGAAGAGTATAGTATAGTTAATACTCTATTATATCGCTGAGAGTAAATTTTACAAAGTTCTCATCACAAGAAAAAATATTTTGTAAATATGTGTGGCAATAAATATTAACTAAACTTACTGTTGTAATCATTTTGCAATATATACATATATAGAATCATTATGTTGTTTACCTGAAACTAATAAAATACTATATGTCAATTATACCTCAATTAACAAAATGCGTTCAGATGCTACAATAATGTATAACCAGGCTGGTCTTGTTTATTATCTTACATAGCATTTTGTCCTCAAAAGAACAAAGAGTAAAGGAGACATATAAAATGCAATAAGGAGTGGTAGGGTTTGTTATCATCTTAAAAGAATAGATGAATAGGAGTTGGTCAGGTGAAAAAGTTCTGACCTAACCTTTCTTTTTTCTTTTTTTTTTTGCTGAGTTGGGGATGAGGAGTGCTCAGCAGGAAGGGGCATTTCAAGTAGAATACAATGGGTTTGTGCTTTTGTGTGCCTAGCTGAGTGGCAGGGAAGGGGAGGGAGGATTAGTGATGAGGTTAAAATTAAAACGGTAGGAAGATGCCAGAATTTTTGGAGCAACAATTATAGATCTATTACAATTTTTCTCTCCCTCTATACTTGATAAACATCTATGGTATTAGGCCAAACTTGTTAAAAACCAATTTCCACTTTATATCTAGATTTAAATGACTAAATGATTTTTCAGGAATAAGACAACCAGTGAAAAGTTTTAAAGCTGTATTTTAGCTGCCTTTCGTCAAACAGTGGGAAAACAAGTATTTCAATAGTATCATCATGATCTTGTGAAACGTTTCCAAACGCTCTTCTATGAAAGGAGGAGTTCTGAAAAGAAAAATGAGCATGGCACTTTCACATTTGTCCTCATTTATCTCACTACTGAGAGTAGAGATTGCTAATGACTGTTTTATAGGCTAGGGAAAGTGAGAAACAGGAAAAGCGGTGATTTCCTTCATTCTAAGATGTAGATTTTTCACATTAGGACTTTTTAAAAAATCAAGATAGATCTTACACTACTGATTTAATATTATCTTGGGTATACTTTGAATTAAGGAAACATGCTAAGCATTTTTGCCAGTCATTAATAAGAAAGCAGCAGAATGGGGCTAAAATAATTTTGCTGTGAAGTTATTAATGTATATTAATAGGAACATAGTGGCCTGTTTGGCTGTTCTTTCAGTAATTTAATTAAATGTATAGGGTCTATCTTCTACTAGGCTCTTCCTGAAATACAAAGCCACACAAAACACTTTGTGCCCTTAAGAAGTATATAAATCAAACACAAATGCCTACAAACAGTAACATTCTGGGATTAATACTAGAAAGATGATTCACTTCTCAGCTTTTTGGCTAAGATCACATATTAACTGACAGAACAGATAGCTATACTTGAGGATAACATAGTAAATGGACTTTTGAAACAGGGAGATGGGACAGGAGCTTGCTCCATCCACTCCACAAATCGACAAGGTGTTGTGCTTCCAGAAACAGTTTACCCCCTTGAGGGAAAAAATATCAGAAAGATGATACAAAATAAGATATATCCAGATAAGAGGTACTCACTTTCAGCCAGCATACCAGGAAAAGCCTGACTTATCATGAGAGCTTAGTATATGTTGACTCTGAAAGCATTATGGAAGGTCCAAGTTAGGCTTTGAAAGACTAATAGAATTTCACAGAGGAGACACTCCACAGAGGAGGGAGCAGCAGAGACCAGAATGAAGGCCACTGGGCCTCACTGGCAGAAGCAAGATAGAGAAAAATGAAAAGTAAATGGGGCTAAAACACAGAGTTCCTTCAAGGTCAAAAAAAAAAACAATGTGAGCAGAGGAATAGCCTCCTAACAGCCACGTTTCAGGAAGATTAATCTGACAGTACACTATGCAGGCTGAGCTGGTGTCGGAAGGAAGCACCGCCGTAGAGTCCAGTGTCAAGTATTCAGTGCCTGACCTCGTGATATCAGAAGCAATGGCATGAAAGGAGTGTTTCTTCTCAACTGCCTGAAGATTGTTTTTGAATGACGGCAAAACAGAGCACCAACATGTTTACATCTGTAGCCCCACTACTCCTAACACAATGCCTCACCCATAGTAGATGCTCAATAAATAAGCTGAAAGAAGTCAACTTGCAAAGGCTAATTTGAATCTTTAATTACTGTTAAATGTCCACGATCACTCTTCTCTCTCCTTTTCAAAACTACTCTTACTACAGTTAAAGTGAAGTCCACCTTCAGTCTTGGTTTTAAGCCTAAATCAAAATTTGCCAGTAGGATGTAGAACCCCACTTTCTTTTCCTTCAAAATATGCCACAGTATTTTTTTAAAGTATATAATCTTGCCAGGTGACATTTACAAATCACTGCTTTACTGGGGATTTTCTGTAGAAAATCATCCAGTTTTCCATACAGACATGCACCAAGAAACCTAGCTAAAAAAAAAAAAAATCTTATTTACAGCAGAAAGTTTTTCTTTTAGGCAGCAATCAACATGCTTCTAGCATTACTGATTGAGTCCACTATACTCCTAGTGCCACCAGAAGCTGTAGCTCACATTTCCCAAGTTGTGTAAAGGGTCCAAAGTTGTGCAGCAGTCATCGGCGAAATCAGGCTCTGGTGTATTAGTAGTTATAACACCTGAAGAAGCCTAAGTTTCATTATTAGATTCCAAATCATACCAAAATTACAGGTATTAAGAAATATTTTACGAGTTTGTGTACTTATCTGAGAAATACACTCGGATGTTATTTTAGGTAAGAATAACTGACTTTCTGCTTCAAACATGTATCAGGTCGCCTGAAAATTGGCAGTAGTGACCTGGATTTGATACATGGAAAAAAAATCAGTGTCCCCAACACCCAGACACACACGCACACACCCAGAGCACTTGTATTACTATCAAATGACCCCAGTTTACACGTGGCAAGTCTACAAAACTATTGCATGTGTTTTAATGACATCGAAAAGGATTCCGCAGCCGCCAAGTAATGGGATGTAATTTATTCTGACTTGGGAAATGAAAGTGTTAGGGGAAAAAATAATTTTTTTAAGGTTCTCCTCCTCTCCTCCTCAGCTGCTTGTCCCACACCAGAGAGCGCTTTGCCCAGATCTAGGCAGATGCCTGTAGGTCGGAGAAGGTGGGACTGTTCAGGAAACCCAAGATCCTCCTCCCATCCATCACCTTCTGCCTCCCCTTTTCTTCCTCGGGGGCGGCGAAAAGGCCCCAAAATGCAAGCCCTTGAGAGGGACTGCAATTATCTGAGCCGGGCCCTTAAGGCACTGGGCTGGGCGGCATCTCTTGTCATACATTTCCCACATCGACCACCGTAAAAGGGCTGCAAGAGCCCCAGCAGCAGGGCTGCTCGGGGCGGGGGACGCGGGCCGGGCCCGTCCAGGCCGCGGCTCTCACAGTGCCCACGTCACCAGCTCCAGCACTGCGGAAATGGAGCGGCGCGGCCCGCAGGGAGGCGCGGGGCGGCGTCGGCGGCGCGCTGCCCCGGCCAGCCGCCGTCTGCCCCTCAGCCGGGGCCTGTTGGCAGCCGACATTCGCCCGACCACATCAGGGGCCCTCACCTGTGTCCCCGATGATGATGTACTTGAAGAGATAAGCGTACGCCATGGCCGCGGCCGCTCCGTGCCAGGGCACACGGCTCCTCCTCCCGCTACTGCTCCTCCTCCTCCGCGCCCCTCAACCCGGCGCCGCTCGGCCTCCAAACACCAGGCCCCGCCCGCCGCAACCGCCGCGCGTCGCCGTCAGCAGCCGGGAGTGTGGAGCAAACAAGCCGGACAAACTGACACCGGCGTAGCTGTGGCAGACAAGCCCCCGACCGAGCTCAGCCGAACAATAACAGCCGCCGCTGCACCTCCGCCCCGCCTCCGCGCCGACCCGGAAGGGCTTAGGCCGCTAGCACTGCCAGAGTAAAGGGGAGGGACCCCTACGCCGGCTGCGTCCCACCTTCGGGCAGGAGCCCCGCCCCGCGCCGAGCCGGCCACGCCCGGTCCCCGGGCGTGGCAGGGCGCTGGTCGTTCTTTCACGTTCCTGCAGCCGACTCCGGCGGCCAGAAGTTGGTGGTGGGGAGAGTTCAGTTCCATCGCTGTAACGCGCACGGGTGCCGCGTCCTTCCGTCTTTCGGAAGGGGCTCGGGGCGCGTGGTGGGAAGGTCGCGTTCCGCGTAGGCCCATGAAAAGGTGTTTGAATGCAGGGCCCTCCCTGAGGTGGGTTGGTGTGCAGTGGTGTTTCTGAATTTGGGAAGTGGGACTCGACAGTGAAAATGCACGTGTTTATATTTAAGGGAATATGAAGTAAAAAATGTTATGCCTCTACAGTGGAATATTGTGCGGCCCTTAACTGAAACATCTAAAAAGCTTGACTTACATAAAGTGAAAACAAAGCACAAGACCCGGTGTATAAATGTATATTTATATTATATATTATTTACATATGATACAACAATCAAATAATTATAAATTCTATTTTATCACATCTATATAAATTTTTACCATTGTGTAAAAAGAAATGACAATAATACACTTAAGTGCCCATATGTGTATAGTCAATCTAAAAGGAAACACAAGAGTCACCAAGGGAAGGATGTGATTGAGGAAAGAGCCATGGTTCACTGAAATATACATGTGCTGTTTGAATTTTTTTTTGCAGCGTTCACGAATTACCTATTGAAAAATACACCTAAGGAACTAAACAAAGAACTTTTTGTTCATTGAACTAATGCTTAGTACTCATTGTTTCCCGCACCCCTAGCAATTTGCAACTAAAGGCAGACCCTGTTGTAAAGAAGCACCCATTTTAGAAGAAGGAATACAGGACAGAGTTAGTGTCAGGAAAGGTTACTCAACACTAGATGATGCCTGAACCAGGCATGTGAATTATAAGTAAGAATTTATCAAAAGGACAAAAGTTTAGGGAAAGGAACTGAAGTTTTAAGCCCAAGAAACTGTGCAAAGTTCATGGATCTGCTCAGGGAATTTAAAGTTGTGTAAAGGGGAGAAGTGACGGCCTGGTTCTGGTTGCCTAATGCTCTCTTCTCTTGGGATAGCTCATGTAATTCGATTAACACCTTCATGCTGGGCTGGCTGTGGTTGGTTGCTACATGATTTGAATGACCTTGTCAAGTGTGAATTCACAGGTTTTTTTCTGGAGTATTTGGAAGGTATTTTACTAAAGGTACAGGAATAGTGTGCAAGAATTTGACATGGACGTTACCTGGAATTGCATAATCCGGTTCACTCCTCTTTGGTTTGGGGGAGGGGAGGTCTCTGCTCAAGGCCTCCAGGTTCCAGAGCCCATTTGTCCCTCCTATTTTGGTGCCTTCTCTCAGTCTTTACTAGTGATAGACATCAAGAATGTCCCCTCCTTCCAGGAGAAACCCAATTTCCTACTATTCTCAGAGGTATGACCAAATAGCCCCAACAGGACAACTCTTATCAGGATATTACACAAAAACCTAACATCCTTACTAGTCAGGAAGATTCCATATCGTTAGAGGAGGTGAATAGCTGGAGAAGTCACTGGTGCCAGGTCACGCAGGGTTTTGTAGCCATGTAATTATGCACATAGAACTTGACCCAGTGGACACAAAGGAAACTGAAGAGAAAGATCAGAAATTGTAGAAGTGGACATAACATTATAGAGGCATTAGAGAGGCAATGTGGTATAAAGAAAAGAAATTAGGAAACCTGGTTTTTGATTGTGGCCCTGCCTCTAACTGATTGACAAATGATTTGGCTTAGAGCAGTGTGCCCTCTATAAGGTGAAGGAGTTAAGTGAAACCTAAGAGGGTTGTTTCAAGTCTGACATTCTTTAATTTGATGTCTGTCAACCTCCAGATTGAAAGCCAGCTGTAAAATAGCTAGTAATCCTTGTTCTGGCTGGTGTGGCTCAGTGGAGTGAGAGCTGGCCTGTGAATCAAAGGGCGCTGGTTTGATTCCCAGTCAGGGCACATGCCTGGGTTGTGGGCCAGGTCCCCAGTTGGGGGCGCGTGAGCTACAACCACACAATGATGTTTCTCTTCCTCTCTTTCTCCCTCCCTTCCCCCCTCTCTAAAAATAAATAAATAAAATAGCTAGTAATCCTCATGAAAATGTCAGGGCCACAAGAGTCAAACAATGTATATTGTTTTTACACAGAGCTGGGATGCATTACTTATTTGTGCACAGGAATTGTAATGTCACTTGCTGCAGAGCGCTGTAATCTCAAAAGAACAGGGACTCAATTTTCAAGTCTTTCCCTGAGTCTCTGTTTTCTTATCTTGAAAATTTGGATAATAATTGCCTCACAAAATCAATTTAACATCAAATGAGATAATATATATGAAGATACTTTGTAAATTATGAAAAACACATACTTAATACATAAAACATTTGGTGCTGCATGATTTTTTAAAATTACCTTGAGGGAGTAAAGACAATCACAATATAAATTCATGTTTTAAATCAGCTACATTCCTGTGTCTGTTTTATGTCTCTGTTTATTTTTTCCTATACGTGCTTTATAATATTTCTCTAAGCCTATATGCTGTCTTAAATCCTTTTTGAAGCAATACAGGGTAGAAATAAAAACCACAGAAACTTCATTTAAAACATCCCCAGAATTCGAAAACATTTTTCAAGAAAAATTCCTCAGGCAAAATGATAGAACTAAACCTCTCTTCCCTTAAGGGGTAGTAGGATACTTCCTGTGATTTTCCATTCATTTTGATTTTTAGCTGTTTCACCCCCTTGGGGATGAATTTCAATGACCTCATCTCTCAGTCTTACATCATGTATGGTGTGAAGGTCATAGCTGAAATTTAAAGATTGAGCAACTACATTCTCCAAGTTCTCCCTTATTCAAATTCTCCATGACATTTTGTAGTATAATATAATATTGGAATTTTGCATTTACTTCTCAGCCACACTTTTCACGTGTTTACATTTTCTATGGTTTTGATTACTCTGAGATGTGGGAAGAAAGATAGAGTGGATTGGGATGGAAAAAGAGGGGTCTGGAATACTGCAATCCATTGGTTCTTTCTTTGGTTTCCTTAGCCAGTTTTGAATGAACTTGGGGGCTATGGTCCTCCAGAAATGGTATGCAAAATGTATGTATTTGCATGCATATCATTTTATGGGAAAGAGTCTTGCATCAGTCCATAACCCAGAAATAATTAAGAACCACTGTGAAGTGCCCTCTTTAGCCCTGTCTAAATACCATGACAGAACTAATTTTCCAGCACATGCTAGTAAGCTCAGTACCAGTTTTGGAGGAAGATAGACCTAGTTTCAAATCCTGAATTTACCATCTATAGTCAAGTGATCTTGGATAAATTACTAAACTCTCTAAGACTTAGTTTTTTCGTGAGATGATATAAGTAAAGCATCTAGCACAGTGTCAGGCTCACAGTAGACATTAAATAAACTTTGAGGTCATTTCCCCCTTTCTTTTTGCTCTCCTTATTTTCCACTTGCAACCTGTCACTAAGAACTGCAGGAGTTAAATGGGGCCAATAAAGACCCTACCTTAAATGAGATTAAAATCTTTTTGTGCTGAGTCAGGAGTGGTTTTGGCCTAGCAAAGGCTACAAGAGAGGTACTGTGTTATTTTAGATCACAGAATTTTGTTCTGGGAAATGAGGGTAGATTTTATGGAAGGAGACTATTTAAGCTGAGCCTTTAAGGGCATTATCTTTCCTAATTAATGCTTTAACCTAGAGCATTCCAAATGCTTCAGCCCTCTCCATTGTACTTTGTTCACCTTATCCACCTGATCTGCCATTTCTAGTTGGGCAACCCACTTAGAATTCCCTGTTTTACTTTTCTGTGCATGACCTATTTTTGACCACTTGTCAGAGCTAGATATGACTGTTTTCTCTCTCTCATTCTGCTCATCCTTCACAAGCTTACTTAAAAGGTGAAAAGTGAATGATCTCTTATTCACATCCTCAGTCAGTGAGTATGTAGATGACTGAAGAAACTTTCTTTTATACGTAGGCTGTTTTCTTAACCAGTAGACTGATTATTAGTAATACAAAGGACCTATATGAGTGCCTGAACCAGAGAAACAGTGAATATTAGAATAATAATAGCTTGTTTTATAAAATAGTGGATTAAAAATATAACTACATAAAATATGAATTATTAATATAAAACTTAAAAGAGTTCAAAACCAGAGGTGTTCTTAAATTAACTACTTTTTAAAGTCCTTAACATTTGCATAATGCTTTGAGCAGAGAAAGTGGTCTGGAGAAAGGCCCAATATTGGATTCTGCAAGGCCTGAGTTATAGTCTCTTTACTGACACTACCTAGCTAACCTTTAGAAAATTATCTTCAAACTTTTTATCATACATTCAATAGAGATAATAACTCCAGTGGCTTATATAATAGAATTGTTGAAAGGTAGATATGAGAGCACTCTGAAAAATACATTATTACTAGGACAGGGTACATATACCAAATTGTGGGTGAATGATTTTCTGCACATGTATCTAAGTATATTAAAAGACCAACCGTATAACATCAGTAATATTTTATTTATGCATTGTGTGTGTATGTGTGTGTGTGAGAGAGAGAGCAGAGACTACACCATGCAATTGCTTCAAATCCCACTCTCCATTTATTGTTAATATGTTCTGTGTCTTGTTTTAATTGGTAGGCATTCCTTGTTTTGGAAAAGTTGGGATTGGAACATGAGTGGGGATGCATGAGGAGTATTCTTAAAATTGTGTTGAAGAGGGAACCATTTACAACTTCTGTTAAGTGCTTCAGTTTATTTTAATCTTTACTCCTACAGGTCTTTAAGTTTGGAGTTTTCTTTCTCTTTTTGAGGAAATGATAAGCTAGTTCTGCCCCATTGAGAGGTATGGACAGAGAAAACCTTCTGTCATTG